ATCAACAAACGAATTGATAGAGAAGCTGTGGTATATTCATACAATGGAATACTACGCTGCATTGTAAAACAAGGAACTCATAAAATATTATTCAAAATGGGTGACCCTGGAGGACATTATGCTGAGTGAAATATCTCAGTCACAAAAGGACAAATACTGCATGGTGCCACTGTTGTAGAATGAGGCTGACATCAGGATGAGGGTAAGACTGAGAAAAACTGGATAAATTATGTTCACTGCATTGAAGCTGATGAGGGAGAGAATAGTATAAAAGTAATATATTTTAGGGCATTATGATTATCATAAGAGTCCGGAATGAGGGTTTCAGAGTGGAGTATACTCGGAGTGGGGGTGGGGGTGTGTGGGGGGATTGTATACTAATGAAAGAGTTTTTCTTTTGCCTTTCAAGGAGAAGAGCGAACTTGGGGTGGGGGGCGGGGAGAAAAGTGCAACAATGAATGAATGGAAAAGATGTTCATTGAAATTAATAACAAAAAAGGAAAAATGCACAGTGACTCATAGTGACACTATTAACAATAAGTATGAACCTTGCTCTGTGCTGCACCATCTTCCTGATGAAGACCTTTGTGGAAGCTACCTTGTTGAGAGTATTCCTTTCTTTCTCCAACTCTCCACATTTTCCAGTGTATCTCCAAGGACTAGTTTTTCCTCCTGAGAATATATTCAAAGCAAATGAGATGAAGTTACACTCCCTTCAAGTTGTTGCTTTTTTGTGCCATCGAGTCGCTTGTGACTCATAGTGACCCTATGTACAACAGATCTGAATCCTGCTCTATCCTGAGCCAACCTTATTGTCTCTGACACACCAACTCCATTACCTCAGTCACTGAGTCAATCCATCTCACTGAGGGTCTTCCTCTCTTGCACTGTCCCTGCACCCTCCCAAGCATGACATCCCTCTCCAAGGACTAGTGCCTCTTTGTATCATGCCTCAGAATCCTTCCTACAAGATGGATTTTTTTTCTTTTGCCAGTCCATGAGACATTCAATGTTCTTTGACAACACCACAGTTCAAAGGTATCACTTCTTCTTCTGTTTTCCTTATGTTTTGTCCAAATATCAAATACACCGGAAACAAGTGAAAATTCCATGGCTTGGATGAGGTTCGCCTTAGTCTTTAAACTAACATCCTCATACTTTAGAACTTTGAAGGAG